CGGGCTGGGGCCGCGGGCCGGGCCGGTGGCGGGGCGCCGTGTGCGCTCCCCCCCTATGCCTGACAGGATTTACCCCCTCTCGACCTGGGAGCTCTCGGTTTCGCTTCCCGAGCTTAAGCATGAGGGGGAGTGCTTGAGCCCCGTGATGAGTTTTAATGGGGAATGCTCTTGTCTCTGCTAATTATGCATTTAACTTCCATCAACCTTTTTTTTTTTTTTTTTTTTTTTTTTTTTAATTCACCTCCCAGCAGCTCTTTGTAACACGTTATGTGAAGTACCCGACCAGCTAAGACACCGAGCAAAATAAAGGCTTCTGCAATTACAGGTAATTTGCGACACGCCTACAGATGTTAAGAGAGCTGCATGAGGGTAAACAGCTTGCATCAGTAAAACTGACAGGTCCTGTCAGTGTCTGATCACACACTGGAAACATTCCTCAGAATTACAGGGGGAATAGGAAATGAAGAGGTGTGAGTCAGAAATAAAGGCATTTTTGAATATCAGGGCTGGATAAGATCGCACGAGGAATGAGTACTTGAGCCCTTAAATAAAACACAAGGGGCATGTTGGAGTAGGGGCAGGAGTGCTTGCTTAGCTTGCGGCAGTGGCTGGTAGCTGACCGTGTTCCTGTGGCGTGCTGGGCATGGCTGTCTTTCCCGTCGTTGGGCTGTCCTAGGTTGAGTGTTACTTTTCCCCTCTCTTGCACTGAGGAATCTCTGTCTCTCTCTCTTTTTTTCTGCAATAGAAGAATTTCTTTGTCTTGTGTTCCATTAGTTCTCAGTATATAGCCTGGAAATGCTCTTAAGAGAACAGGCAAAAGGTTGAAAGAAGGAAGTGGCCTTTTGTGTTAAGAATGTTCTTTTAAACCCAGTTTTTGTGACTTTGATCACTAATGAGATTTTATTGGCTGTGGACTATGTGAAATGATATGAGGATTTGGGCCCAGATTCTGTCTGGGATTGCCACAATATAAGTGTGTGCGCTGAGTCGAGAGCAGAATAAAATACATTTTCATCCTTAATTTTGTCAAAGAAGTTATATGTGGTTTCTAGTACCTCTTGCTCTCCACCGTTCAGCCTGCAAACCCTACTTGCCAGATACTTGCCTTGAAAAGCCCTAGAGGAAAGGCAGAAGGATGTGCACGTGACTGTGTTAGGTTTAGCTTAGAGGTCAAGGCAATGGTGGGCCAAGCCTCTGCCTGGAAGAAGGAGGCACCTCCGTGGGTCAACTAGGCATAGCAATGTAATTTTCCAGGTGGGATTTCCAACACATTTGCAGATCCATGACGTTATACTTCTACTGTGTGTGCCAGGGTTTCTGGGAGACTTAAGTTCCCAGCCTTATAATTGGTAGAAGGACTATATAGCACAGAACTTAAAAATGAAACTGTCGTGGTTTAACCTGGCTGGCAACTAAGCACCACGCAGCAGCTCGCTCATTCCCCCCTCCCTCAGTGGGTTGGGGGAGAGAATTGGGAAGGAGAAAAAAGGTTAGAGCCATGGGCTGAGATAAAAGTGGTTTAACAAGAGAAAATAATAGTAATAATGAGAATGGTAACAATATACAAAACGAATGGTGCACAATGCACTTGCTCACCAGCTTCTTATGCACCTGGCCGAGCAGGAGAAGCTCAAAAAGTCCTTGAGTAGTCTGAGCACTGCTTGGCAACAACTAAAAGCATCAGTGTGTTACCAACATTCTTCTAGTACTAAATCCAAAACACAGCACTATGCTAGCTACTATGAAGAAAATTAACTCTATCCCAGCTGAAACCAGGAGAGAAACGATAAAACCTCATAAATTAAAACATTTCTCTGGAAGAATTCTATCCTGACAGGGCTAGTTCTCTTGACTTTCTGAAGTTCAGGCCTCTGACTGTGTTGCTGTTTTGCATTCCTTCAAGCAAAACCCAGGTAGTTTACTTGGGCAACTTCATTTATTTTGTGCAAAAAGTAATTGTACAGTGAAAAGGATATAGCAGACTACCTCAATGGCTGGAAAAATAGCAGAATTTTGAGATGTACATACAAATTCTTAGTCATTGCATAAGCTCAGCTGGCACCTGTGACTACAGAGGATGCTTTACAAGTTGATTCTTTGTGTTATTCATGTGAACAGAAATCAGTGGCACCAGAAACTGCGTGAAACAGGAGCATGGGTTGAATCTTTGTTTTTTCTTTTGACGTTTTTCCTTGTTCTGTTCTTCTCTGCTTTTAATTGTTATTTAGTGATGAGTGATGAATTACCTGAAAGGAGAACTGTGACTTTTGCCTGGCTAAACACCAGTTTGTGTAAGGAAAAGCCTGAAGTGATGATAATATGAGGAGAGATAACATTCTGTCAAAACAGAAGGAATGTGGAAAAAGAGAAACATGTCTCCTATTAGCTGATAAAAGAAAATTGAAAACTAATTCTATTCTGTATTTCATACAAATGTTTCTTCCTGTAATAGATTTTTTTTAAAAAGGGGAAAAATTGCTTTTGTCTTTACTTTTGATGAAAGAAATGATAAAAAAATACACACTTGGGGAAAAGCTGCACTGCAGTATAAAATCTCAGTGTTTATAAATTTAATTAGCGTTTCCAAAAGGGTGCAAGTTCTGTCTATATGTGAAAGAGACAGTGACTTGCCAATTTTGTAGGAAATGTTACATTAAAGTGGGAGTGGGCAGATTTGTAGAGGGGATGTAGACATTTGACAAGGTCTAGGGCAAAGGAAATAGGAATTAAATAACAGGTTAAAAAAAAAAGTACATAAATATGTCATAACTAAAAAATTGCTATTTTCATTACTGGGAGCAGGGCACAGAGTGTATAAAACTTCCTTTAAAAATATGGGAAATAGGACACTTGTATTGGAGAAGACATAGTCCCCAGGAATTTGGCTTTCTTTCAAAGCAAGAAATTAAATCACTTTTTGAAGGAAAGGTTTACAGGGGAAAATGGCTGAGAGGGGCCGAATTCTGATAGGACTCGTGCTGTCTTGTTATACCTTCAAGGGTGACTGGTGCTTCTGATTTCCTGTCTTCCACAAATGGAGTGAATTTTGTGCAGAGATGTTCTGGAGGGTGTAAATCCTCCATTTACAGTTGTAGGCTAATAAAATAGCTCTGGGTATTTCCAAACATGCTTGGAAAATGACTCAAAACTCATGTGGGGGCATGAATATGGGACAGTCATAAGGGGGTCATCGTGGGTAGAACTGAACCCCTAATGCTCTTAATACTTAACTAGCATACTTTTTTTAACATTTAACTACATACATACTGGGCTTCTTATCTGTTGTGTTAAAAGCTATCTCTGGGTTTCACACTGGGTTTAATTAGAGCAAAGAATGCCTCCTGTTTTCATAAACTTGAGTAGAAGTAAAGTACAATGCTTGCAGTGTTCAGACCTGCAACTGTCAGAGGTTTCCTGTTCCTAGATTAGTCTTTGCCTGTTCTTGTGTCAAATCAGATACACTGTAATCTCTGTCATGGCTCTCCTGTTCTCCAGTTTCCACTCTGATCTGGAGATAGGTGTTCAGAACAAAGTTTTAAGAGCTACTAGACAGAATGGCAGAGGCCTTTGTGATTGTTAGACTGCTCTTTTGATCTGTATTCAACTTTTTAGGAAATAAGTAGAGTTGACGTTTCAGTGTTCCAGCTGCATGCTCCTTGAAGTTTTTAATGTACTGCTGTAAAATTAAAATAGCTGGAAGCTTCCTATTAAAGGTTTTTAATTGCCAAAATCTGAGTTCAAAGTTGCATCTTCTTACAGTTTGAACTCTGCATTAAAGCTATAGCAATGTAGGGAGGTGTATTCTTTTTCAGATAGCAGGAATATCATGGATGATTGAGTTCAAGCACTGTACTTCCAACTTTGAACTGGTACCTATCTGTCTCGGTCCACTGATAACAAAGAGTCTGTGAAGCCTCTAATTGTAGTGGAGCATTTCAAAACTGCCCTGTGAGGTGGTGAGGTTTTGTTATCCCCATTTGAGTGTCTGGGAAACTGAGGCACGGGGCAGGCTGATGAATTAGGTAGGAAGTCTGAGCGAGTTAGCAAGTAATTGCTGTAGCCTGTATGCCAGCCTTTCTTGGTGAAATAAAAGGATGCTGTCTCTGGAAGACATCAATCTGTTTTTATTTAGAAGCTTCCTTGGTTCAGTCCTGGCAATATTGCTGTTCTTATAGTACAGCACCAGAAGTAACTCAGCAATAGGAATAACAAAATCTACACGCTAGCAATTAAGTGCTTGCTGTTTTGCTTAGCAATAAACTAGACCCCAGGTTGGCAGGGTTGAAGGTGTGCCGATACAAAACTGCTGAAATCCAGATTTGTGTGTTCTTCAAATCTGGGTGTGAAACAGCATATACAGTTCTAAGACACCTCAGTGCTGGCTATCAGCCCCTGTATGAGCTAGTGCTCCCAGCATAACTGTTTAGATTAAGACCTGGAGGGAAAGTTGTATCAGCAGCGCTTTTGAATGCATGCTGGGCTTCAACATACAATACTATTTCTTGAGTGAAGTTGGGTCATAAAATAATTTTGGTAATGTTCTTGGGTCTGATGCAGTTTAGATGTCCTGAAGCTTTTCTATGTCAAAACTTCTGCATTAGAACTGCCACTCGGGTATCTGAGTTATCTTTGCCCCCTGCTTGTGGGGTGGGAGAGGAACACTTGGGACCAGTGCTTTTTTGCTTAAAGATTATTTGGTTAATGCATTCCCACATACGATAAAGTGACTTTTGTTTTGGCAGACTGCTGATCTTGTATCAGTATCTGGAGGTGCTGCTGAAAGTACTGGAGTATCACAGTGGACTGGGAACTCTTGGCATACCCTACACTAAGATTCTGATAGGAGTGAAGCAATTGTGAACACCCTCTACACTTCTGTGTAATTTCAGTAGAATAAGTAAACTGGTATCCAGTTTGTAGCTGTGGGGAGAAGGGTATAATCTCACTCTGAATTTGTGTGAGTTGGGCATACTGTAGACCCCTTCTTGATGGGACTCCTACATGTTCCTATAGCATAAGCGAATATTATAACATTTGCTAATGACTATTTTTTCTGCTTGGTAATACCCTATAGCAGCAAGTGCCATGCTGTGTATGTGAAAGGAATGTATTTTCTGTTGGTTTTACCTTCACAGTATTCTAGTTGTGGTTTGCTGAAGCTGTGGATTTAAGCACTGACTAATGATTCACCAGTATAACTGTCTTTAACAGAGTCAAAAAAGCATCTGCTAACAAGCTGTAATCGTAAACACAGGAGCTCCATGATAATTGTCCTCAGTGTTGTGAATTGTAGGGATTTTCACTGGGTGTATGTACCATGCTGTGATTGCGGTTTAATACAGGCTTACAGGAGCTAGCATTAAAGTCAAAGGCAGTCTAGCCATGGCAGCACAGTTCAAAACAACACTGCCCAGAAGCTGGAGAACTACAGAAATAGTTAAGCTGTAGTTCTCTTGCTGCTGTCTAGCCTACTAGTGAAAAAAAACCAAACCAACAACAAAAAAAAAACCAACAAAAAAGAAACCACGAAAGAACAAGCAACAACAAAACCAAACCCCAAACAAAACACTTACACAACACAGAGAGGTACATAGGTGATCATATAGAACCATTTCTCTCATAACTTAACTTCTCAGTGGAGCACGGTGATCTTTTACGATTGTTTTTAACTCCTGCTGTAACAGCCATATGCTATCATGATCCTCTGATTGTTGAAATGGAACAGAAGGTTCAGCTGGTAGCAGAACAGAGATCTATGTGAGGCTTGGAAAGGCTTATTTTCCTGCCCTGTTGCATTTTTTTTAAGGAAAACTTGACACTTGAAGACAACGCACTCTCATGTTAGAACGGGTTCTAAATGCTTAGTTATACAACCTCACTGACTTCAGCTATCTTCTGTTCTTCCCAGCTTCTTCCTTTATAACCAGTCCCTATCTTCATTCCTAATTTACTTCCCCCCCCCAAATTAATGTAAGCTTTCATGTCTTTAACTTATTCTTGTACTGTGCTGTATTTTTGAGACCAGCAAAGCAGGTAAGTCCTTGACTGTCTATGTACTGCTATGTCTGTAGACATTTAGCTGGATTTGCTTACATAGAAAGAGTATCTAGACTGGCTCTATGAAAATAAGCGTTACCACCCATTCAAGGGGAGTAGTTTTCCCGCTTTCTTCTCCTTTGGTCAGCAAGACAGTTAATATTTTACTTGCTAGTAAAAAGGTCTTAAAAACAAGTATCTAGAAGATAGATAACCTAAGATCATGAGTCAACATTCTAGCTTTTGAGTAAGTTAGGAGTAAATGAGCCATCACATCAGTACAGATAGCCCAAACCTGATGTTTAGCTGGAAAGATCTGCACTGATGTGTTTGTGAATAGTGTGAGAGGTGGGGACTTCAGCAGTCTCTGAATTGCCTTTATTGGATCCTCTAAAGTGCATTGATGAGCTGTTTAAAGCCAGCTAGTAGAAACATTGGAGCCAAAGTACTTAAATGGAATTCAGGCTGCCTGAATGTGGCCCTACAATCTCAACTGTGCTACCCTTCAGGGAGAAGATAGTGAGACTTTACTGATATCTCATCAGTACCTGTATCAATCTCTGGAGTGTTCCAGAAGTCATATGACTTTCCTCCAGCATAAAAACAAGCCTGAAAGGCTGCGAGGGGGCAGCAAGAAGGAGCAAATGTTGGTTGACTAGCTTGGCAAGCAGCAGGAGGAATAGGGGATGGTGGCAGGAGGAGCTGAAGAGATAGAGGATTTTGAAAGGTAGGGGGGAGGGTTTGGGCTGATATGAAAGACAAAGGCTTTTTGGGGAAGGAGAAGAAATGTTGCTAGGAGACTCTGGCAAAAGGCGGCCTCTCCAAAGTGTGGTGGCTTTTTCTGCATTGATCCAGGTACAGACATGCTTTTTGCTAGAGTTGAAGCACAATGTTTTGGCTTAGCAAGCACAATATACTCTGGGAGATGGAGCAAGTCAGATGAAGAGTATAGTTTCACGATGTATTGTCCTCAGCTTTATTGCTTTACCAACCCCTCTTCCCCACTGACTGTTCATTCTTACCCATGCTTTGCAATGTGCAGCCTGTTTTTTAAATGAAGTTGTGCTTTTCAGATGCTTTGTGGATCTGTGCTGTAAACCAGATTATAAACCTGATCCATTTCACCAAAACCCAAAACATACTAGTACTGGGAGTAACTTTTGAACAAGCCACTTGGTTTATAATGCACCCCCACAAAGTTGCAGGAGATTGAGAACTGCAGTGAGACCTTAGGAGCAGACAGTGGTGGGGAAGCATCTTGAGCTAACTTTTCCATTGAAGGCAAGGTACCTTTTAACTACACCCTGAGGCACTCAGATTTTGAATCCCCTCCTGCACAGGGAGACAGGAAGGAATGATTGCTGTGGTAACGGAAAGGCAGCAGTACTGGTGTACAGTGAGAGCTGAAGTGTAAGAAACGGGGCTTATGAGGAGGGGATGCACGGGTTCCACTTCTCAGCCTTTCACACTGTAAGGAGATGGCTGACAGGCAGGGAGAAGGAGGAACAAGGACTTGAGAGAATAAATGCAAGGAGTCTGGTGGTATTAAAGGATGGGTGAATGATGTGTGTACTACCACAGTTTACATGGTGCCAGTCTTCTACAGGATTTATACTCCTATGTGTGTAAGTATTTCTAGTCATAATACTGAGTTGTAGTGTCGTAAGTACTGTAATGGCAATGTGTAATTGTAACAGAGAGCACTAATAAAACCACTAATAAAGTTGTAACTGTTCACCTGTTTAACATACAATGATCTCCAAAGCAAATCCTGAAGGAAAGGCTGGTCTGACTGATGAAAAATCAGATGACAAAAAAAAAAAGGGGTGGAAACAAATACTTGAAAATCTGGCTAGTATGTTTTGTAAGTATCTCTGGTATTAAGGGTCTTCCCTGTGCCCTTACAGGGTTGTTAACCTACAGAGACTCTCTGTATCTGTATGCTAATGAAAAATAAACTTTCTTCTTGGAAAAATAACCTAGCAGGATAGGAAGGTAACTCTGCTTCCAGGACTGTTTTCAGACACATACAGAGGTAAAAGCCCACACAGATTCTGCATCCTGAAGCAGGTTCAGGAAAGGTTCTTTCCAACAGGGAGAAAATCTTGGGTCCCCACCTTGGTTTTTACCTCCTGAAGTATAACCCCACATAGTCAACTGGTGTGATCTGAGGGAAATATAGTTTATGGAAGCAGTGAAGGAAGATCAAACAATTCCAATACTGCAAGGAAAAAAAAATTAACTTGCACTCATATAACAATTCCATGTCCTCACTTCCCATGAGCTGTCATGTACTTTGACTAGTGCTCTTTATTATATGTGACTTGCTGATTATATAGAATTCTGCTGTAAAGAAAGGTTTTCAACATTACTCGGAATGGGAATGTGATGCAAAAGACAACTGTAAAGAAATGTCATGCAATATGACCCAGTTCAGAGTTAGGAAAATAATAAAAATTCTGTCATGTGATGGATATGATGGCCTTTGTGCCAGTGGCTGCTCTTCTCTAAAAACCTTGAAAGTGTGATTTTGTTTGTTGGTGCCCTGTTCTGTAAGTGCCAAAGAAAGATGGTCTCAGATGCAAACAAATCAACCAAGTTAAGAAATAAAAACCTTCACGAGGAATTTCAGAGCAGAGAGGTCTGTGAGCACTTTTAGAGGGTCCTGGCTGACAGGCATCAGAAATGCTGATTTCTTGAATTCAGAGTAGCTTGCAAACTAACTTTCTGTAAATCCATCTGAAGTGGAGGGGTGGGGGAAGGTAGGCTGAGATGCCGCTAAATGCTCTGTGTGAATCTGAGCAAACCCAGATAATTGTGGTGTTCCTGGGGAGGTATGTGGGAGACAAAGGTGAAATCCTTTAATACATTGGAGTTAGTACTTTGGAACTCACCTACAGGAAACTGTATGCTTCTGTTGAAAAGTGCCTGAGCTACTGCTGGCCTGTCTGAACACTTCAAATGTTGACTTTAGCCCTCTCCCAGCCTCTGAAATGTCTCTCCTATTCTAGGGGTAATACAGTCTGTGTTACGCAGGTTGGGGAAAAAAATCACCTGGCAGGCATTGACAACGAAGGAGTCTTTGTCTGGTTACCCTAGGCTCTTTGCAGTTAGTGGCGAGAAATGCAATTTTGGGATGAATCTTTAAGCACTGATTTTAAGCATCAAAGAGATGAATAATGACCAAGACTTTACCTTTATTGCCTCAAGCTGTTGTAGAATTTGCTTCAACTAATAATACAGAGCCCTACAGTCACATTTTTTAAATTTGTGACTGCAGGTTGTCCAGACCTGCTCATGGAAGATGCAGAACATCAGCAGCAGTTCCTCAAGGTCGGTCTTTATTGCTGGAATGTACTCATGAAAACATTAGTTTACACTCTAAAGCTAAGGATGGGCCAACTTGGCTTAATTTATATAGTGTTTCTAGCTAACAAGTTGTTTTGGTTTTTTTTAACATAACTACCTTACTTTTGGCTGATGTCATCTTCTTTTGTTGCTGTTATCAATCTACTAGAAGTTATAGCTTTTAATTTAAGGCTCTTTTCAGTTGGTAAATACAACCCCCAAGTCAAATGAATGTGATACCATGAGTGTAATCAAGTAATGAAATATTACCTGCTGGTATGTGATATTATTTATGACTGCTTCTAGGTAATCCCATTGCATCAATAAAATGTTACCACAGCCAATGGATATGCTGCAATTGTATGGTACTGCCTTTATTTTATACCACATGCTTGATGGTATTTGTTTCCTGTCTTGATTAATCTTAGTTTTGTTTATTTGTCTTGTCTTAGGTCAGACGATTAAAACAAGACAATGGATTGGGGAGCTCTGCATACCATTTTAGGAGGCGTAAATAAGCACTCCACCAGCATTGGGAAGATATGGCTCACAGTCCTGTTCATCTTCCGTATCATGATCCTGGTTGTGGCTGCAGAGAGAGTCTGGGGAGATGAACAAGACGACTTTGTCTGCAACACTCTGCAACCTGGTTGCAAGAATGTTTGCTATGATCACTTTTTCCCCATCTCTCACATCAGACTCTGGGCCCTGCAGCTGATCTTTGTTTCCACACCTGCACTGCTGGTGGCCATGCACGTAGCTTACAGGAGACATGAGAAGAAAAGGCAATTCAGAAAGGGAGACCAGAAATGTGAATTCAAGGACATTGAAGAAATCAGAAAACAGAGGTTTCGTATTGAGGGCTCCTTGTGGTGGACATACACCAGCAGCATCTTCTGCAGACTGGTCTTTGAAGCAGTCTTCATGTATGCATTTTATTTCATGTACAATGGGTTCCAAATGCCTCGCTTAATGAAGTGTAATGCTTGGCCCTGCCCCAACACAGTAGACTGCTTTGTTTCTCGACCTACTGAAAAGACAGTGTTTACTATTTTCATGATTGCTGTGTCCAGCATTTGCATTCTTTTAAATGTGGCTGAATTATGTTACTTACTGACAAAATTTTTCCTCAGAAGGTCTAAAAAAGCTGGAAATCCAAAACATCACCCCAACCATGAGAATAAGGAAGAAACCAAACAAAATGAAATGAATGAGTTAATATCTGATAGCTGTCAGAACACAGTTATAGGATTTTCAAACAGCTAAGGTGGTGTCAATGCTGGTGTTCACTCTTTTTGGAGTGAATGTTCTTTGTTTAAAGGCTGCAAATGAAATTTGTCATATGAAACTAAGTTGGGCAAGACTTTGATATGTAGTGTCAGGTGTCAATTATGTGCATGTCTGAAAAAAGGGCAGTCTAAACTTGTGAAAATTGTGTGAGGATTAAATAGGAAAGTGTATCTTCCTATGAGTACCCTTACAAGCTGACTGACAAGTGGGAAACCCACTAATACTTTCATGCTGACACAGCTCCTGAAAACTACATGCAACAGCAATAAGAACAAAATTCTTTCCAAGCCAGATATTCTAGTATTACAAGATGTTTTGTAATAGTAATAGTTTTTACTTCTGAACTGACAATTAAAATATTTTTCTAAAATCTAAGATTCCATGTTACTTAAATTGTTTATAGTACACAACTGACTGTGTTTTGTTTCTTAACCAGGCATATGCAGATGAACCCTGTAATGCCGTATTCGTAGGGAGGAGACAGCGACAGGCTGCATCTTTACAGCTTTGCAAGCACTGCTTCAGTCTGGACAGGTAGCTTGAGGCACTTGCATGCACACAGCTGGCTGTAGGGGAAGTCGTGTGAAAGCCCACCACGGGTAGCGTGGCTAGTTGAGGTAGCGAGGCCCTGAGTGCAAAGTCATGCCTAAAACCAGCATGACAGTATAGACAGAGCCTAAGCAGACTTGCTTTAACCATCTAGCAGACTTGGTAATCTTACTGATCTTTTAATTGCATACTGCCAGTTTTAGAGCAACATCCATAACTTTATGTAAATGTTTATTTCTCTAATGTATTAGCTGTATTTGTTTCTTCATGCTGTATCACACCGTGGAACTTCTTCGGTTTTGATTTGTTTGCTTTTGTTGTGGTAGACTGATGGTGCTGTTATGAAACCAGGGGCTTTTTGGTTTGAAGGACATGGAAAAGTATCACTGGAAATGGAACGAGTCTTCTGAATAAAAGGCAAACGCTTTAATCTTTCTCGGTGAAGTGGGAGTCTGTGTGTGAATGCTGGTGAGACCTTAAGCAGGACGAGTGCTTATGAAAAAACTTTTCAAGCAGGGATTTTACACCCATAGCACATATAGCCCATACACCCCCCTCATTCCCAGCCAGAGTACTGATGCCCTCGTTATGTTGTCCATACTCTAATGGTGGTGCATACCTGAGTGCAGGGGAGCATGTGCTTGTGGGAGGGGCGTGCTGTTGAAAGCAGAGGACCCTGGAGGTCAGAGAGGTGGGTGTAAGTACAAGACCCTAGCTATGGTGTCATCTGTGAGTACATTTCCTATTTGGGATCGCTTTTCACCATGGTCAAAATGGCATGGACACACTGACCTCAGTGGAGTTGCTCTTGTTTGTTTTTTTCCACCAGTACAGGTGGATTAGCCTCATTGTTTTTGTATTATGGAGCTGCTCTTTCAAGGAGTGTAACGAAGAGCAGGTATCCCTAGGAGAAGATTACACTCAGTACAGTTTTCCTCCTGCTGCTGTATCATGCTTTTTCTTACAGGTACCACCAGCACAACTTTGTGTGCATCCATGCTGTAAGTGGGTCTGAGTTGTTTGGTTGTTTTATGTGTGACCAGTAGAATCCTAACAGGGTGCAAGCACAAGCAACAGGAGAGACAAAATACCTGGAGTCAGCTCTGTCCCTGCATGAGGGCCTGAGCTGAGCCCTCTCACTTATCTGTTCTCTTCTGCTGGCAAACTCCTGATCTTTCCTGCCTTTGCTGCACATTTTCTTTTTTAATTGCTGTTGTGAAAAGAAATTGCTGATAGTCTTCCCAACATGTCTACCAACAAGCTTAAGGAAAAAATAAACACAAAACTCTGTATACTGTGATCGTATTGTTCTCTCTGCAGACTGAAAATACAAGCAGAAGTGAGAAGTGCTACAGAAGCTTCTCCCTTTGTAGGTGTTGTTCCTGGTGGCCTCCTCATGGCTCCTGCTCCAGGCTCCACATCCCGATGTGGCAATGGTTTAAATCCTTACTTAATGGAGCTGCTCTCATAGGACCAGGGAGGTGGGTGCTCAGGCTGTACCTCACCCGATCGCCCCCCAGTCTCCCAGAGGCAAACAGCAAGGGCCCAGGCCTCAGGTTGTGCTGGTCCCAGGGTGCAGAGGCACAGCTACTCCTGTTCCAGAACTGTGTTTTGTGGAGCAACTTGAGCTATGGACTTTTGTCATGCTGCAGATCATGTATAGAAGGAGTATGAATGGAGGTTGTTAATGATCATGCCTGATTGTGTCTCACCACTTTTAGCAATCAAAATGAAATAGCCCTATGCTGAATGTCAATAAACCTGGAAAACACCTTCAGGCGCCTCAAATGGAGGAGGGGTAGTTTTTCTTGGTCTATGATAAGGCCTGCTAAACCCCAAATGGGGATGTGACAATAGTTTTCTGTATGGTATTTTCATTTCCTGCTTACAAGTTTTCAAACAGAGGTTTTTATTCCAGCAGTTGGACTTTTCTAGAAGATCAGCCCCAGGTCTGCTCTTATTTTAAGCCTGGGTAAACGAGCAAAGCTTAAATGAAAAAACTGGGTGTACATGGTCCTTTGTGTGTGGCTGTGCTGTAAATGGGTTTGGGTTGCTTGGACGTTTCCTGTGTGGTTGCAGGACCTGGTAAGGTGCAGTCAAGCAACACTGTCCCCCTGCTGGGTGTCCTGGCAGCCAGATGGGTCAGGAACAAATGTGCGAGTCCCCGTCCAATCTACGCTCAGGGTGGCTGTGAATCAAAGAGCCGGAGCTTATCCAAGGCTTCACTAGTGCTAAGGCATTGGCTCGGCAGGGAGGACCAGTTGTGACCGAGATGTGTGTGGCTGGGATGTTTCTCACTACGTTTTCACACTATGTGCAACCCTAATTATGGACACTCCTTTATCTGAAACATCCCCTGACTTCTGTTACTGCCAAGGAAAGTCCCGGACGGTTTCAGGGCCCTCTTTAAATAATTCCTCATCTCCCGTTGTGCTAAGCTGAAGTCGATGTCTTCACTAGGAAATGGCAGCTTTCGGTGTCTTGTTTCTCCTTCACCATCACCTGCCCTGGCCTGGGTAGGGGAGGCAGCTGTGTTTGGGGGGGGGGTGGTTAACCCTTTCTGCAGGGAAAAGCTGAGCTGCTTTTCTTGGTTTCCGATCTCCTGCATCTTGGCAAGCTGGCTGGGGCTGCTCTGCTGCACAGAGCATGCCCGCTCCCAGCCCTTCTCTGTGCCTGCCCTTGCTCCTGCCTGGTAGCCATCCCCCGGGGAGGAGGGTCTCCTCCCAAACCTCTGACAGGTGACAGGCCGTTTGTACTATACTGGCACCACCATCACCCTGTGGTAGTTCAGCCAGTTTCTCTGATGGCAGCTGGCTTAATTGTCCCTGCCCATCCCTGCCGTGTCTCCCCACCCTGTGATTTCCCCTTTGTTATGCCTGGGGCAGAGATTGCTTAAATAGGCTCCGGTGCCAAATGATTAATCAGAGCCTCTGGAAAAGCTCTCTTGCAAGTTCTCCGCACACCCTCCCACTCCCCTGTCTTGCTTTCCTATGAAACAGGGGGGAGCCCTGACTACGGACAGGCGCAGCAGCAGACTCTGCTCCCATTGCACATAAGAGCCCTTGACTCCAGCCCCATGCGTGCCCTCCTCCATCCCTCTCTCTTCTTCTCCCCCTGCAACTTTGGCTTTGTTTTTCCATTGACCTAAGCCCTTTCCAGCAACCCTGCATGCCAAAGCGCTAAAAGCAAATGAGACCAGTCACAGGATGGTCTGAACCCACTCTCATCCCTTTGCATAGTGGGGCTTACCATCCACCCCCCACCCCCAGCCCCGTACTGCAGCCGCCAGCTCTTTGCTGCCAGGTTGGAGCGAGTTCAGCTCCCCCAGCCCCTCCGCCCAGCAGAGGCTCTGTGGGTGCGTGCCATGCCGGCCCAGTGCCTCGCCCACCCTCACCCCATGATGGTGTGTTGGAAAGCACCGCCACAGCCAGCACGAGGCAGACCTCTGCTCCTAATTGCTTGGTATGATTTCTATTACCACTATTACCTGTATTTCCCTTACTGAACCAAGGCTTTATTGCAGTGCTCCTGAAGTAAATCTATTTCATAGAATCATAGAACAGTTTGGGTTGGAAGGGACCCCTAGAGGTCATCTAGTCCAACCCCCCTGCAATGGGCAGGGACATCTTTAACTGTATCAGGTTGCTCAGAGCCCTGTCCAGCCTGACCTTGAATGTTTCCAGGGATGGGGCCTCCACCACCTCCTTGGGCAACCCGTTCCAGTGTTTCACCACCCTCATTGTAAAGAATTTCTTCCTT